CCTAACGTGGAATCTCACTTCCTACTGGTTTTGTACCACCTCTTGGCACCATCTTTGTACCTCCTCCTGTAATTGGCTTTGTTTCTCCTGTTGGCTTTACTTTTTTTCTTGCTGGTGGTTTTCAATCAAATGGTTATACTCACCAACCTCCTTAACCCACCCCTGAGGGAATACAAGTGCATCATGTTAAGAGAACTGTTGGGATCCCTGCTCCACATTCGATGGATGATCAAGAAGACATATTTTCACTATAAGACACTGCTTTTCCCGTTGAAGCCAAGAGAAAGTTTCAACTGCTTGAAGAAAGGGAGAAGGCTATGAAGGTCAGGGTATTCACGGATTAGATATGACTGATTTAGGTCTGGTTCCTGATATCAGAATCTCTACAAAGTTCAAAGCACTAGATTTCGACAAATACAAAGGGGTGTGTCCTAAGACTCATATCTGAGCTTTTAATAGAAAGACGTTGGCTTACTCAGAGGATGAAAGAATGTTAATGCACTTTTCCAAGATATTCTATCTGGGGCATCCTTGGCATGGTATATATATCTAGAATGAACTCACATTCGTAGCTAGAAAGATTTGGTTAAAGCCTTCATCAGACACTACCAATACAATACAAATATGGCTCGTAATCGCACCCAACTTCATAATCTTTCTCAAAGGGAAAATGAGTCTTTCAAAGAATATACCCAAAGGTGGAGAGAGCTCACTGCCAGAGTACAACCCCCTTTAATGGAAAGAGAACTGGTGGACATGTTCATGGGTACGCTGTAAGGTCCATATTATTTAATGATGATAGGAAGTACCTCTACTGGGTTTTTAGAATTGGTTATGGCTGGTGAACATGTTGAAGTTGGCATCAAGATCAAAAAAATGCAAGCTTCTAACACAAGTTCTTCAAATGTAATGAAAAAGCCTTTTGGGAGATATGTTAAGAAGAGAGAAGGAGATACATACGTTGTGTTTTCTTCCAAAGGGAAAGGAAAGGAATATCAAGCGTCTTATTAGAAAGTAGCTGCAAATAATTCCATCAACTTCTCAACAAAGTGATGCTCCTCAACGACCACAACAGAATTATGCCCCCATGCAGTATTAGCAACAATTAAAATATCCTGAGAGAAACTTTTATCCAATACCAATGTCCTACACACAACTACTACAACATCTACTTAAAATACAATTGGTGGAACTCCTCGCCCTAAATCATCCAACAAAGTTTCTTGCCGATTATGATGCAAATGCAAGATGTGACTTTCACTCTGGGGCGCCAGGTCACGATACTGAGAATTGTAGGGCCTTGAAACCTAAGGTTCACGATTTGATTGACTCAAAGGCCATTGAATTTACTCCAAATGATCAGCTACATGTAATATAAAATCCAATGTCGTCTCACCATGGTCCATCCACAAAAGTCGTCGAGAGACACGAGGGTTTGAACCTAGTGAAAGATGTGAATCATTTGAGGATTTCTTCGTCAGTTATCAAGAAGAAGCTACTTGAGCGCGACATCTTTCTGGGTTGTGCTTTAGATTGTAAGTAGTGCGGGAACCAGCCCAAGGGATGTGATAAGTTAAAGACATGAATTTTGGAAATGATTAATCGGAATTTCATTTAGTCGGACAGACCCTCGGATAATGATCTATTTGACAGGAGTGTCACAGATATACCATATGACGATCAATAGACTGTGAACATGGTGTATCGATGTCGTGGCCAATACCAAGTCTTTGACATAAACTTGGAAAGTGAAGATTTTGTGCAAATGCATGCTACTTTATGTAGAGAGAGAATTTTTGTAAGGCATTACTATGGATCTTGTCAAATTTGTTGTATAAACTCACGAGGGTGCTTCGCAGTAAAAGGAGACCTTCAAGTTTTAATGGATAATGGCCCTATCCACATCCTTAGAGATAGGAATGAAAATGGTGTGAATATGATGGAGAGTCATTAAAATGAGCTTTTTATCTCAGATATCAACACGATGACTCCTCCAAAAATTCATGCCAAATTCATGGAGTTAAGATTGATTGGTGTCGATCATAATGATGATCCTAGCCAGTACCAAGCTCATAATGTGAATTTAATGGGAGGGAACCTAGTACAAACACATGAGGATTTTTATAGGGGAGGATAACATGACTATAATTCTTGACGAATTTGTTGTAAGGATTCTCAAGGATGCTTTATTGTGAAGAGAGACCTTCAACACCATCAATGTCTCTTAGATCAAAGTATTATGCAGACTTACGAAGCAGCACCAGATAACAATGTGGTAGTTATTTCCATACCATGTGATCCCATTCTGATACCTATGACAACAAAGAAGCCTCCTTTAAGGATCACCATATAAGATCCTATTCCATTTGAAAGTACTAAGGCAATATCGTGGAACTATGGCGGAGATGTGTACTATCAAGGAGAAGAGCAAGAACCCCTGGTGGACAATATTATGGGGACTGGTGAGATTACTCGCAGCGATAGAGTTTTTTCTCCTCTCATCAAACCTAATGATACCAATGCCAAAGAAAAATAGGTGAATACAGATAATCAGGGGCAAGAACCAAGATTATCTTCTTCCCCAGAAGTGAAAGAAATGGAGGAATTAATGAAGATCATAAAGAAACGTGATTTCAAGATAGTGGATTAGCTTAATTAGACGCCATCCATGATATCCATCTTATCATTGCTACTTTATTCAAAAACCCATCGTAACGTATTGGTGAAATTCGTGAGTGTCATACCCCAATTTTTTTTTACCTAAGATCCCATTTTTATACAAAAGTCAAGGTCACAAAATAAGATCGGTTTTAACCTTTCACCTTCGAGCATTGACTATGTAGAAATTGTCAAGTATTTTGAACATTCTTAGCCTATGTATCACTAACTTCTAATCAAGCACGAAGTGTGTGTTTTTTGTTTCTTTGATTTCATTTGTAGGAAACAGATCTGAATCAAGAGCATCACGCGTCATGCCTCGATTAGGGTTCGAAATCTCTCAAGCCAGAAGTACAGTTGATCGTTGATTCTTGAAGACTGATTCATTAGGGGAATCATGTGTTTATTTCCACACCTTGTTTGACAAGTGGTCTCAAGCTTCTCCAAAAATTCCCCAAAGCACAGTCAAGATTTCATCATCACTGGTTTACATGTGCATCAAGATTCTTTGGAATGCGAAGAAAGATCAAGTTTGCAAGTCGATTCAAAGCATTTCTACCAAAAGTTAACTCTTTCAAGTTCAAGTTCAAACAGTCACAACTTCTTCAATTTTCAACGTCCTGAGGCGATTCTTTTGCGAAGAATCACAAATAGCGTTGTCTATGAGATTACTTCAAAGGTCTAGGTTCAGTTCATGCCACAGACGTTTTCTAAAGGGATATTTGATTCTTATGTTGGGATAATTCATGAAACTAGAGCTTTAGTTCAAGGATTCTTTGATTGTTCGTTTCCTACTTCAAGTCATTTGCAATTGAACATTAGCGATTGTTGGATGAAGGTGGATTGTTGATTAAATTACTTAAAGGCATGATTTATATTGTTGGCATGTATTGCAAATTACCATGAATAGGAGATTTGAATTAGGGTCTCATTAGAAATGATTTGGATATTCACTCGCGAGATGCCATTAAATTCAATTTAACTCAGAGTTTCAAAGACACTCATCTTTTTAGCCATGATTCAATTGTCCACTTTAAATTCAAAATTTTATTCATGGGAATAAAATTGAGGCATGTATCATATTTAATTTGAGATTGCAAGGCATGTGCCATAACCCATTCATCCAAATGCAAGGTTCAATTTGGTGCGTAATTTAAATATTATTCAAGAATAGATCAAGACTCCTTTCCAATATCATTCAAGATTCATACAAGCCACCAAAAGATAAATATTTTCACTCATGATTCAAAGTTAACAACATTTTTGATCAAAAGTGGGTTGTATTCAAGAATCATTCAAGAGACTTCAAATTCATTCAAAGATTCAACCATCATCATTCATGACCTATTCAAGCCCATTTTGTTCATTCTTGATACAAGACATAATTTTAAGTGACATTTCAAATTCCATCCAAGGTTATTTTCAAGAGAAGTTTTGAGATTCATCAAAGGTTTACACAAAAAATATAAACATCATTTATTACAAGGAAAATTACAAAGGAAGTTACAAGCAAATCAAGACTTGAGCTACTTCTAATGCCCTATAAATTTCATGCCTCAAACTTGTTGTCCAAGTTTTCCTTGATCCAAATCCTTGCACAAACTTGCACCAAAACCCTTATGTCCTTATCCAAGTTTTGCTGCACAATGGTCATGTTGCTGCCCTTGTTGCAATGCTGCTAAAAGACTGTATATTTGCTGTCACAAACAGTCCAAATAAAACAGTCAAAATAAAGTCCATAAGACTACCAAAAAAAACCTGCTGCAAAATGAGAAACATTTCATATCCCTTGCTGTCCAAACATGCATATCATTCCAAATAATTTTCAACAAATAAGCAACACAAATTCAGCATCATAAAGTAAAAAAATCAGCATACCACATTAGTCCAAGACTCACCAATTTTCCCCCCAAAATTCATTCCGATTCACTACACAAATACATCAATACATAGATTAGGGGAAGAGATAGAAAAATTCAAAAAAAAAACATACAGTACAAAAATCCCAACAAGAAAAGACTCAAAGTAGTAAGAGGAAAAACTCTTATCAGTAATAGCCTCTAAGCCTCCTACCATGAACCTCTGTTAACACAACATAGAAAATATCAAAAAATATTACAAGAACCAACAAAAAATATATACCAACCTTGTTCAACAAATACAAAGAAAAATATCCAAAACTTCTCAATCTCTCTCTTTATGAAAACAACAAAAATTCATAGAAAGATGTGATAACTCACCAAATCTTACCTTATCACCATGTTTCCCTGCCTCAGACTCGTGAACATGCTCTCCTTGCTTTCACTTTTGGTTTCAGGAAAATGATTTTTTGTTGCAACAAGATGGATGAAACTACACCCAAGTACTCCAAGAGTAGGTTTGATGAAATTGTGAAGAAAGTTCCATCCTACAAGAAGAAGGTTGGCTATAGCCCAAATAAAATTCCATTTGTTCCCATCTCTGGTTTTGAGGGAGATAACATGATTGAGCTCTCTACAAATCTTGACTGGTACAAGGGTCCAACTGTTCTTGATGCTCATGACGCAATCACTAAGCCAAAGAGGCCATCAGACAAGCCCCTTCGATTACCACTTCAGGGTGTTTACAAGATGGTAGGAATTGGAACTGTGTCTGTGGGACATGTTGAGACTGGTATCATTAAACCTGGAATGGTGGTGACTTTTGCGCCAACTGGACTTCAAAGTGAAGTTAAGTCTGTGGAGATGCATCATGAAGCTCCCGCTGAGGCCCTTCCCGATGACAATGTAGAATTTAATGTTAAGAAGTTGCTGTCAATGATCTCAAGCTCAAGATAATTAAGCAGGGATCTAACTCTGAGAATAATAGCTTAAGTCATGCGCCTGAGAAATCTAAAGAGGAGGACATATCCTAACAACACTGTACAAGGTATGTTTTTTTTCTTTGCAAGAACTGTTGTTGTTGTTTATTCGCTTATATTTGTGAGGATAGAGGAGTTTTGTTTGTTGTTATTGGTTGGTGATAGGAGGGTTTGTTTGAAGAGGAAAAGTAGGAACGTGAGAGCATAGACAAATCTGGAGAGAGTGAATAGATGGAAGAGTAAGAAATTTTAGGATTTATTGATAATTATGTTAAAGGTAATTGTTGCCCCTTTCCAAGAAGAAGTCAAATGACCAGACCTAGAAACAACATTGAGTTTCTTATTTTTGAATTTTGGGCCTTATCCTGTGACCCACTCCGGTCCAACAACACCTTAGTTTTTTATTTGTTTGAAACATTTTGGGCTTCAACGCAACCAGTAACCTGAGCCCATCCCAATTTTCACCTCAAAATTCTCTGAGTTTATGTTTCACATCTCCTTTTATTATTAATATAGTTTAGATTTTAATTAGGAATTTTATAATGAATTTAGTTTATATTTAAATTAGTTTAGATATAATTTAGTAATTTTGGAGCTTTAATAACTTTATAATTTTTATTTAGTTTAGATTTAGTTTAGTAATTCTTTAGAATTTTATTTGATTTAGTTTAGCAACTTTGAAATTTTTATTTGTTTTAGCAACATTAGGATTTTAATTTATTTTAGATTTAATTTACTAACTTTAAAATTTCATTTGGTTTAGATCTAATTTAGTAATTTTAGAATTGTTTTTATAACCTTAGAATTTTAATTTAGTTTATGTCTAATTTAGTACTTTTAGAATTATTTTTATATTCTTAGAACTTGTAGTTAGTTTATAATTATTTTAGCAAGTGATCTTAATTATTTTAATTCAGTTCAAATAGCTTCTTTAGATAATTAGTTACGTTTTCTTTTATTTGTATTTAAATATCTCCGGCATTTTAATTTTTCGGTGCCTTTTGGTCATTAACCTGTTTTGTTAGATTTATTTTCTTTTGACTTTTTGAATGCTTATATTTTGATGTTCATTTTATTTTACTTGCTCGATTTACTCTAAGGGAAAGAATTAAAGTTGTTGACTTCATTTCATCAAATCTATCTTATACGATTGTGCGAAACCCTTTATAAGTTTTTAAGTTTTGTTAATCTTAAGTTAAAATTTTCCTAAAAAAGACTCAGTTTTTAAAACCCACACCCCTTTTAAGTCAAAACTTCGACACTAGGTCGTCGTATCTTCAAAACCTTGTCCACGCCCATTTTTAACAAAACAAACAATTTTAACCAAAAAATAGATATTTCAAAAGGTTCCTGCAGAGTACCACCGATGCATTGGGTGCTAATATCTTCCCATTGCATAACCAACCCACGAACTTTAGATCTCTTTCAAAAATGCATTGTATTTTCATTACTTTTAAGTATTACTTTACAGTGCATATTTAAGGGTTTTATTTCACTCTTTTCCCTTTTCCCTTGGAAATAATAAAGCGCGGTGGTGACTCTTTCTTACTTGCGAGTCAAGTTAATTAATATCTTATTCTCCAATTTTCACTACTACAGAATTGGAGACTCTGCTGGGGAGAGATTGACCTCTTGCTGGTCCATCCCTAAGTGGGTTAAGCCTAATTTGTCATATCTGTTTTTTGTTATTATTACTTGTTTGTTTGATTATATGTGATATATTTTGATTATTTAGGTGTTGATTACAAAGGACAAGTCCTATACTCGGACTAAGTTACACTTAAGATTAGGACGGGTAGTATAGTCATGTTAACTTTGAGGGAATAATCCCGAAGAAGGAGACATGAAATCCCCCACTCAGTGGAAGCCCCTTTGACTGTAGTATTCGTTTACCGAGTAATCGGGAAGACGTTATTGCTTTCGACCTGGGATCCAGAGAAGATAAGAACCATAGAACCCTTAACCCATCTTGGCCTCTTAGGTGTAGTGCGAAGACTATAACGGAGTAATCCGAAAGCAGTTGTCACGCGATGCTACGCTCAGACGAATTTATCTTGAGAATATTGCTAATTGCCGAGTTATCAGGATGTTTGTAATATCCGAAGGAGGAATGTAGACTCTGGGAACTTTTAGAACCTTGTTTTACAGGTGTGATTAAATCTTTATTACATACCTTGGGGTGGTTCTTACTTTGACTCCATGCTCGTGACGTTGAACCTTTTGACTTTGTTTGTGATCTTGCTTGTGGTTGTTGCAAAGCCATGCCTTCATGCATCCATGAAACCCTTTGTCACTTGATTTACAAGGAATTTGGAAGTCTTTCTTTGTAAACATCACAAGTTTCGTCAAGCTCAATGGATCTTGAGTGTTGATGGGGGTGGAAACCATAATCCACCAAAATGGATTATTGATCTTGATGATAACTTGATCAATGTTTTGATCCAATTTAAAATTCATCTTTTATCAGCATACTTTGATGTTTACAACTTAATATCTTGAAAATCAAATAAAAACTCTCTTTTACATTTACATATCATGCATCATTCTACATTTTTTGTTTCACTTTCAAAGGTCATTTCCAAGTCTTATTTTTCCTTTGGTCTAACCAGTACAACACTCGCGCTAGGAGACCAATGGAGAATATCAAGGAAGAGGTTTCCGAACTCCGCAAAGAAATGACTAATTTGAAATCTAATATGGAGCACTTAACTGGTTTGGTTGAAATTTTGTTTGCTGCCCAAGTTAATCCTTCTAGGAAGGAAGAAGTGATAGAGAAGGTCTTTATTGAAACTCTGAAATCATTCTTTCATGAGAAGATGACAACTAATGCACCTAGTGACTTTCTTGACAAGATGAATGTGGAAGTGCGTCTAGAAGAAGATGTCTGAAAGGGATGTTTATATGAAGATGGTGGCTCAGCTAGTGGTGCGAAGAAGTTTGATAATTCCTTTTCCTAGAAGGGAGTCAGAGGAAGAAATAATCATCGCTAAAATCATCATGTTTCTCCTATCATCCCTGTGTTTAATATACCTTCTGTAGCTCCAGTTCATCAACAGAATAAGTAAGTTCCTAATCAGAGGAAAACTCAATTTGATCCAACTCCAACGACCTATACGAAGTTTGTTTCCTGTTTTGATGCAGAGGAATTTGGTTCAAACTCGACTTCCACCGAAGGTTCTTGAGAATATGTCGTGGTACTACAAAGCAGATTTAACTTATGCCTTTAATTAGGGAGACCCTGGGCATAGTATTGAATATTATTATTAATTGAAAGTTGGAGTCCATAAGTTGGCCAGAAGTGGTATCTTGTCATTCAAGGACGTTGGTCTTGAAGTTCAAATCGAGCATTTGCCGAAGAGTAAACATGACTTATGGTTACTCTGAATTTTGAAGGATGTTTTCAGCAGCTCAAATCCAGATGGAGAGAGGCTTCTCAGTTTATTATCATTTTTACTGCTTCCCCTTGTAATCTTTCATGTTTGTTAAAGCTTTGTTTACATGTAAGAACTTGTTTACATTTGAATGATTATCTTAATACAATGAGTATGTTTATCTTGAAGAAACTCATTCGTTTCACTCATATTTGTTTTCAAATTTTAAATTGATTTTTGCATTATGATACCAAATATTTAGACCAAATTCTCGCTTAGGCAAAGATTGGAGGGATGAGGATGATCTGAAAAAAGAAAAAATCTTTGGTTGTATGCTTTTGGATAAAATCTTGCTGAGGATGTATAGGCATTATTTCAAATACCTAAACACCAGAGATAGAAGGAAGATAATCCCTTGCTAACCCCTTTTGATCCTTGAAGTAGGAGTTTATTTTCTTATGAAAACCCCTCAATTTTAACCTGGGTCAGGGTAGTGTTCAGTTAATCTAATTGAGTGTTCAAAATTCATAAGGAAGATATTTCTGAAGAGAAACTGTGATGTCTATCCTTCATATATCATGAGGCCAGAAGACATGAAACCACAATGGTTATTCCTCATCCACCAAGCTGATGTCACACATTTTGTTCAAAAATCAAGAAAAGAGAAAGCATGCTAAGTCAAAAAACTTGAAAACAAGAGACCTAGGAAAAAATTAGGGCATCCCGTTGGATAATCAATTCAAAAGAATTAGTTCAGGCAAAAGTTAGGGAAAATAAAAAAAAATTGCAAAGAAAGGACTACAAATAAAAGTCCCCAACTAAGAACGAATTCGTGTGACTACAAATGCAAAGACATAAGGGTGGCTAATACACCGAAAGCCTCGTCGTTTCCTTAACTGTCACAAAATATTTTATGAAAGATTAACACGAATGTTGAATTAACTAAAATTAGGACTGGAGAATATCACGAAGAATGGGTGGGAACCAATAAAATTTTGAGCCTAAAAATCTTTTTTCTGAAAACCATGAACCAGGCTACGTTACAACCTTCAAAATTCCTAATTGAAGCAAGGTTATTTCGAAAGCATACTTCGAAGAGATTGCGTTCCTGGCTCTACTAAGTTCTGTTAAATATTTGTGTTGGTATTATATGCTTTTGATATACAAAAATAAATGTTCCTCTAACTCGCAAAGTTTGTGCGATATCTTTTCAAAATTTTCAAGACTTACATAATTGTTGCATTAGAATTTTCATTCTCAGAATAAACTTTTCTACTTGTAAAATATTTGTTTGATATCAAGGAAGTTCACATATAAGCACTAGCTATGAGTTTATTCTTTTAAGGCTTAATGAGTCTGTTGAGTAAATTAGTGAATCATTTCAAAAAATGATCATAGCCAAGGGCAGGTTTCCTGAAGACCTTAAGCATGGGCAGGTTGCTTTTCCCAGTTGATGCTTTCCCAACTTGGTTACCCTTGTGGGGCAAAATTTGAAGACTTTATTGGGCCAAATACAATCAATCTGGGGCGGTCACGTCAAGATTAGATGAATCTCTCCAAAAGTTTGAAAACACTGGGGCAGTCTGGATGCCATGTTTTCTGTAAA